GTTCATGGAATCTGTCCAATAAGAAATCAAATATGTGTTCAACTTGTGTGTCAGTGATCACAGCTGTATCCAATTTTGTTGTTTTTACTTAATGCAGTGTCCCTAAAGGATTTGTTTCTTATTCATAAGGGAGAATACTATTGTTAACTTAATAGCACAGTCATTTAAAAATGCTTGAATTTTAAATTGTTTGGCTTGAAAGTAATAGTGCACAAAGGTTTTGTCATATATGTTTATATATGTATATGTGTCATTGTATATCCTACAAATGATTTGCATTCACAACACAAAGATTATTTCCATTTAAGCAAACTGCTAGTCATGGCAATTGTATCTACAAGGCACTTAATACTTTTTTATTGCCAATATTACCGGTGATGTTGTGAAGAAACAAGGGATTTTTTGTCGGTGTATCCAATGTAAGCATCGGGTGTAGTGTGATAGAAATTTTTATATGATTATGTGGTTGATATAAAGAAAACAAGTGGGAGACTGCTTTACAAAGCATATTGATATATATGCTGCAAATTCTCTGCTGCCAGTGTATACTGCTTTTTAGCTGGATAATGATTATACCATGCATTGCATCAATCTTACACTAGTACTGTTAGTCCCCTTGCTAGATTCTTCTATAGACCTTAGGCAACATGTGTTGTGAATGAGAATTGTATGAAGGTGTGTGCGATCACCATAGCCTTGTATGAATGGGGGTTCTCACACTCAAGGCTGTCTATTCTGAGACCACCGATTCTGAATGCGCCCTGTCTTTCTTACAGGTGCAAAGGGGGCCTCTCTTAGCCCTGTCCTCCTTCAACTCTTTTGTGACTGAGTGATGTGTGTATTTCTAATATCGTAGATGTGTTGCTGTGAGTGTGTGTTTCTCTATGCCTGGTGTTGTCTTGGAAGTGCAAGAGAGGTTTGTGCAGCAGATTTTACTGCAGTAAAGTGGACTATTGGTGTTTGTGTGTTTATGTGAATGAGGAGTGAATGAAATGTAGTGAAGTAGTAAGTTTGCAGTCTGGCATTTAGCATATTCTCTTGTGCGCATGCTCTAACCCCACTCCATCTTTTCCATCCTGTCTGGCCAAAGTTGCCTGGCCTAACCTACCCTTGGCAAGGCATTGTGTGTGTCAGTGTGTGTGTGTGTGTGTGTGTCCGTGCTTGGTCCCATTTGAGTTGCGCGTATATGCATGCGTGTAGTGCCTCCACTAATGCACAGTCTTTGTGGGGGCCTCTCTTTTCAGCCATGCTGCTTTTGAGACACGTTGTGCCTGGGCATAGAAACAAAAGCTCTCCATTGCCCCTCAATAGGCCAAAAACAAAACCGTGTCAGGCGAGCTAGCAGCCCCCGAGTGTTTGCCATTTAAGTCCCAACCAATGGTGGCGGAGATGGAACAAAGGGGCCGGACAGGGAAGGAGGCCTGCACTGTTTACAGTGTTAATGTCTGGGTGGCACTCCCAACAAGGCCCTTCCATAAACATACATGTGCATGTACACTCAGTCTTTTTCTCTTTTTTTATGTGTGTGTGTGTGTGTGTGTGTGTTTACGTCACATATTCACACCTAATCAACAGGTACATGTGCAGACTTTATACTATGTTGTAAAATTCACACACAAAAATGGAATTAAACTTGGACGTGTCATACGGGCATAAGAAAATTTGTGTATCCAACTGATAATTTTCAAATTTTTTTATTACCCAACTAGGCATTTACAAATTTATACAATTCTTAGTGTTTTAATAATTAGAGAACAGAAGGTTCAGACTATACTGTCAAAACTAGTTCATATATTTTAAATAGCTTTGTCACTGACTCTATACTAATTTTCTTCTTGCTTTGTCACCATAAATAAATTAGCAAGCCAATTCTTCCAAATAGCATGCAAATGATGCCCCCAATTCACATATGTTTAAAGTTTTAAATGTTTTATGATAATTTTGTGGTTCATTAATTTCATTTGTGAATTTAATTGAATGATTTTATTCTACATCTTACCAATTGTTTCTGTAAGAGCTAACTGTTGAGCTAGCTTTTTTTCACATTAAACTTGTAAACTTGAGTGCAGTATTTATATAGATAGATAGATAGATAGATAGATAGATAGATAGATAGATAGATAGAAAAGGTGCATACAAAATGTTGATTAAAGCGACACGCAGATGGCTAAGCACATATTCCAAAATATCGCAACCCTTTTAAGCAAAGATGAGTAAAACAACTGACATTGAGAGGTGCTGTAGAGGCAAAGGATTATTCAGGCTTCGATTTTTACTGAAGAAGAGTCAGGAGAGTCTGACACTGGTATCAAATAGCCTGCACAGTCCTTGGACCAGGGTTATCTTGTAAATACTCTGCTCCAAGTCCATAAAAGCAAGGGTCCTTTATGACGGCCAAGGCCACTCATTCACATTAAAATAAAAAAAGCACTCAGTGCAATCTCAGTGTCTCGGTAGGGAGGAAACATAACAGGCTGGAGGGATTAACAAAATGAGAAGTAAGTAATAAAAAAATACAGAATTTCACCGTCTTTTGTGCAGTCTTTGTTGTCACAAGTTCCACTCTCCATATGAACTACTTGAATTCAAAGTAGCTTATGTGTGGTCATGATTTCAACCAGTTAATGTGATATCCTCCGCTCACTGTGTTTTCACTCGGTTTTGTTTCTCTATGTCTCTCTTCTGTTTGCATTTTATTCTAAGTAAATACAGAGCCCCCTCAGCGGCCCCTGTAGGTACTGATTCAGGTTTCTCATCTCTGGATGTGTAATGAGTTCTGCCTTGTTTTTGTCTAACAACAACACACAATAATAAGCAAAGTAATTAAAAGCAGTATGAGAGAGACGGGGGCTGGGCAGACCCCACTTACCAACAAGCATTAAAAATGAATTTAAGTCAAGAAGCAACAGTGGTATTACTGATTTGATGAAATGAGTTCTGTTTTTTAGTATCTTTGTCTTGATGTATTTACGGCTGTTTCTGCTCCGATCAAGCTTATTTTTATTTGAAGACACACAGTGTAGAAAAAGTCTGATTATTCCTGGATTTGTTGTCTTCATCCTAAATGGAGATTAGGGAATAGTGGCAGGGAATGGGTTGGAGAGTAAAATTTAATTTAATACATTTTTTGACTGAAAACATAATCTTCATGTTTTGTTACAGAGGACAGAGCTGCTCTGGTGGTGTTGCAGACCACCTGTCACCTGCCCGGGCTCTCTTTGACCTCGTCTCCTGTGGCAACATGTCACACCCCCTTTACAGACAGCCACGTGGGACGAAATGACATTCTTGACCTTTAGGCATGTTGGCAAGCAAAGTGACAACAAGCATAGCTGACTGTATGTCAGTTATGTGCGCTGCATGTGGACAACCAGACACACGCAAACACACAGTGCCAGCGCACACTGCGCACGTAGTCTCGGAAGATCATCTAATATCAGAGAGCGTCAGGGACAGAAATCCGATCGTCTGACAACCAGGATACAGATAGCGATTCTCCTCCGCTGATCCATGCAACAGATAGTTTCCACAAACAGCTGCCTGACTAAGGTTACAACCAACCCAGGCCCGCACCACAGTGCACTGCTCTACCTCACATCGAGATAAAACAAAAGCTTAGGTTACCGTCAATAGGAAATTGATAAGATAATACACTGTTTGTGGGTTTGTTTGTTTTTTTTGTTTTTTTATGAAAACGTTGACAAGAGGAAATGAGAAAATGTTTGCTTCAGCGTGAAATAATATCATGTATATTAGTCTTGTTAGGTTTTCGGGTTTTTTTAAATATTTTCTTCCGTGATTATATCGTTGTTCATCTCCTTTTTTTAATTGAAGCTCATTAAATGTTTAACCCAAATGTCAGCATATTTGATTAAGCAGTCATAATTGTTTAAAGAAATTCAATTCTCACAAAGAAAAGTATCATCACTTTACATTCCCCCTGCCTCAAAGTACTCTTAATAATTTGAATATGGATTTATATTATAAGTGAGGCAAAGAGATATGCCCCCTTCACATCAGTGTAATTACGAATCACAAAAAAAAGAGTTTGATTCAAATAAAATAGGCCATTTGTACACAAGCAATTAACTGCTGCGGCTTTAAATAATGTAGCCCAGATGGAACCTAATTATAGTCGGCATGCTTTGATTTGCACTTCCTGTTGGAGTATCACTTGGGGCGTCACTTTGGCTTTTCAGTCACCTAGCGTTTGTTTTGAAATTTGTGACAATCAGAGCCGATTACCATTTGTAACAGCATGCAGCGTTTGGTACGCAGGGAAGAAAGCATGGCCCATAGCTATGGAGGAATTTCCTTGTTTTCAGCTCAAAAATCTCCTCCTCTGTTCCCTTACCTCACTGCACACAAGTGATAACAACTGTGTGCGTGAGTATACGTGTGTGTTTGTGCCCGCATGTGTGTATGTGTGTGTTCCACCCATGAGTAGACACTTACAATTGATGAATGTGTTTATGTGTGTGTGGCAGCATCTTGTAGCAGCGCAGAGTCAGAGGGAGATCAAACAGTCAGTCAATTACCTTGAGAGGGCTCCAGTGGCTGTGACAGAGAAGAGGAGGCCAAATATCCAGGATCAAATACTCTTCTCTGTCTGTCACATAATGAGGCAGCTTCACCAGGCTCAAACAACACACACAGAATGGTCAAACACAGGCCACTGGTCAGGCGCTACATTGAAACTGCTCCATGACTTGAGCACAGAGCACATAAGGGAGCTCTCAGCACAGGACATGTTTCTGTACCGGCTCTTTGCTGCCTTAGAGTGAAACAGGGAAACAGTGAAACATCGTCGTGTGTATGCGTTGCCTTACCTGCAGGTCATCATTACGTGCAATATTAATCTAAGTTTGTTTGTTTTTTCCTCCAGTGTAATTATAAACACTGTTAAAACTAAAGACAATTTTCTGTATTCCCCGTGACGATACCCAGTGTCGTGGAGCTCGACAGCATCATTATTGAAACAGCAATGAATGAAACCGTTATTGCGTTTAAAACAAACTTTATTAGGCTAATGTCATTACTGTAAACTTGTTAAAATCTGTACATGCAACTTAATTGTTTCACAAGTACGAAACAGTTACACAGTGTACTTTAGTTTAAATACAGGATACAAGTTACAGTTAAAAAGGGTGAGCTCTTTGTCCATTGTACGCTGTTTTGCCAACACGTAAAATCGATTCTTCATAAAGGAAAAAAAAACAGTCTGCTTATCAGCTAATTGGCTGTTTATGGGTTTCCTTTACCCACAAGATACAGCTAGATGACACCATCGATTTCCACAATTTTTAAAAGATATTACTTTGATTTGTGGTGTAGCTGACATAACTCTCGCTTGTCTTCTTCTTCTCCCTCTGTCTCTGTCTCTGCCTCTCTTCGCCTGGTCACTAGGGTTCCTCCTCTAAATCAGTGGTCACATCTCAGCTATGACAACATCCATTAGGTTCAACACGCTTTGGCTATTAAAGGAGGAATGGATGGAAGTTTTAAAGGCCTGTTTAAGTCTACATGAGAGTGGGTTTATATCTGTGTGTGTGCGAAGGTTGTCTGGGGGAGAGGATTTTATTTCAAAGCTTCTACCATATAGAAGGGGTGGAGCTTAACGCCAGAGTCACTGAAGGGCCACGGGCTTATTTGCATATCGGCACAGAGACACCCCCCTGGTGACCCTGAACTGCGATGGGATAGGGTGGAGACGCTGGCGGCATTCTGGAGTTCACCGCTAGTTCAAGATGAACTGGAAAGTGCTGCGGCATTGATCGCTTCTGCAGAAAAAAGAAAAGAGACAAAACAGAAGTAAAAATACAAGTGAGAGAGAGAACAATGAGACGGGGAGAATAGAAGAGGTGGAATAAAAAGATCACAGTGCCTCAAATTGGATATAAATGATAGATTAGAGGTGTGAGAGGGCTGTGTCTTTGTTTCCAGGGATAGGTGTTATGATGAGCCCTACACAGGTAGTGGAGTCACCGGGAGTGCTGGGTTATTGACTACCATGATTGCCAGGCCAGTAAATTTGACCCAAGGCACTGACGGCCATCTGCTTGCTATATAGCGTGCAGTGCAAACCCCTGTCTCAGAATGATCGAGAACCCCCTTATATACTCGTACGCACAAATTACACACACACAAACATACCACTGGTACCTGGAACCCAAATTCCCTCTCAGCCCAAAACCCTATACCTGCTTACAATCATACACATAAACACACACACATGCACACACACCATCTCCATTAATGCTTCCAGGCAAGGGTCAATCTAATAAACATGGGGTCAGTGCAGTGGTCATCAGAGGGCTGTCTATGGTGTGAGAGCCTTTAAGTTGCTTCCTAATTGTATCCCGGCGGCCTTCTAGTCTAGCTTTTTATAGCTGATACGATGTGCACTGTGGGGAGAGGAGGAAGCCAGGATGGAAAGTGAAAGGCACTGAGAAAAGGAACCGAGGTAAAAAGGTATGTCTGTATATTGTAGAGATTTGATTCATTGAGAAGGGCTGTGGTTATCGACTTTTCTCTCCAGGGATGGTCTTTTTTTTTTTCAAGCAGCTCTAAATCATTAACTGCTTTTTGTTTTTTTAAATGCTCCCAGGAAAATTACAGGAAGTCATTGTAATATTGTTTCGAACAAATGCAAGTCCCTAAGAAGAAAAGGCTGCAGATGCAGAGGTGAAAATAAAGATTCACAAAAGAAAGCTCCTTACAGCCACTCTTGATTTCCTCCATTCCTCTGTGTGCAAACATGTCTGAGATCCATCTATCAAAGTATGAAACTCTTAGTTTTATCTAATAACAGGCATCGGGTGAACTGCAGGACACCATTTTTCAGGTTCAGTTGCAGTCAGACGCTAACCAGAGGTGGCACAAACAAACCATTCCGTGTTACAACTAACTTGTTAGTTCTAGCTCAACTGGATGGCACAGCCAAGGTGTTCTGCCATCAAGTTGAGCTATCAAACTGAAAGGCTCGGCTGTGACACCCAAACCCTAAGGAACCTGACGCGCATGTACCAGATTTCAAGCTCCAGCGTGACCCCAACTTGGGAACTTGCTAACCTGGAGAAGGTCAGAGGGAAACCCTGCACTTCTGCCTCCCCCCGTCACTGCCAGACCACCTGATATGTTCACTAGTTATCGCTCTCCAACTTCTGTCTGGCCTTTTCTCAATTAGTCCTTTGGAACGAATGACTACCGCTCCACTGGTTTCACTTAGTGCACCCATTGTGTATATATCTAGTTTTGTTGGAAGGACCTCTTTCCATCTCCTTGGTTGTGCAGCGCTGTTGATTATCAGGTATCCGCTTGAATAACATATTAAGGCTATCCCATTGGGCTAACAGGTCATAGGCTGCCATCGTTCTCACACATAAGGGTTTAGGTCTGCACGGAGCATTGTGGGAGTTTGTGAATCTTACGAGACTAAAAATCTTATGTAATAGTGTCCGTTTCTTTTCACTTATTACGTTGCCATGGTAAGTATATAGAATGCAGAGCTTTAATTTAAATTATATTAGCAGTGATCATGTGTTTCCTTTCATATAACATTACAGTCAGTAAATATCTTGGTATGCACTTGTGCTTATCTTTTCCACGCAGGCACAGAGAGGCATGAGCTGACTTCCTGGATGAGTTTCGACTCTATCTTCAGGTTCTTCAGTGAATTTCATGCAAAAGAAGGCGAGGAGGCAGAAGAGACCTCCAACTCTGTTACCACACGCAGTGGCTCCCACAAAAACAAGCACCAAGATTTGTAGAGAACCATCAACAGTGACTCGAAACAAGAGGAGATTTGGGGAGGGCGCAGAGGTTAAAGTGCAGAAAAGGTCCTCTGATATTTTTTTTTAATTTTCTCTCTCTCCCTCTGTAACCTCCTACCAGATTTCCTTCCCCACTGTTTTCCCCGAGTGTCATTTCTTCCTCCCAGCCCTTCCTGACTCTGCACACGCATAGCCTTCTTGTTGTAAGAGACAAGAGTACAGGGTCACTGTGTATACATCACAATAACGTTTTGCATTACTTCTGGTTGAGTGCAACTGTCAAAGCAATATGGGCCTGAGTGTTAGCGCTTCCCGTGGGCTGTGGCCTGGCTGCGGGTACGGGCCACAGCAGCAGAGATTAAGGTTGACAGGCGCTGTGCACAATGCGCTGTGGTGCACCTCTAATTGTCCTGACATCAGCCTGAACTGAGCTAATGCCCCGCCTGCCCTCCAGTCTGCACCGCTCAGTCTCCTCTCCATCATCCCCCCCGGTCCTAAAGCCTGGACCACTCACCCTGAAATTAGCTCATGCCGTGTGGTACATTGTGGTAAGTTTGGTATCATTTCAGTTTTTTAAATCCTGTACCGACCGCAAGTATTTTTTTTAATAAGAGTGAATACTCCTAACTCATTTGTTTAACAGCAGTTGTTTTGATTGCTTCATAATTATTGTTTGACTCATTCACTCACACATAATCAAAAAAAACTTTTAAACCTCATTTTTCTCATTCAGATTTGTGAGTGTGATTCTAAGCTGTTTGTTTTTTCTTTTCTTTTTTTGGAATTGCAGTTATTATAATAAGAGAGAATTTTCGTAATTTCTGAAATTTGAAGGCAGTGTCTCATACAGACACTATGACTATGATTTTATTTTTTAATATTAAGCCAATATTTTCTCAGCGCAAGTAAGTGAGTAAGTGTTTACTTTAGTGTATCTATGAGTTTGATTTGCAAAAGTGTGGAGAGCTTATTTCTCTGGTTATTATAAATATATATACTTTTTCCTTTTTTTCCAGTTTGATATCCTTGAAATTGATGTCTGTGGCTGATTGGATGTGATGAAACAAATAAAACAAACACAACCTGTTCTGAATATGGAAAATTCAGGACACTGAGCATATTTAAAATCATTTAAAGTCAGGCATCAAAATGGGTTCGTGAGATATCTCATTTTAACAGGAGCCAGAAGTCAGCTCACAACACTCATAAAGCCTCAATATATTGCCTTACACATGTCATGAAATCCAAGATTTCAATATTATTCTAAGCCGGAATGATATTTCCTTAGATGTTGGAGAAATGTAACATATCAGTTTTTTTCCTCGCACCAAAGTACTCTTCTTGTGTACTTAGAAGTGACAAAGTCAGCTCCCTGCTCAGCTGCACATAATCTGACTGCGTGTCTTAAACATGATCTTTTTTTCCATAAAGCTGGTATGTTTTATAAAGCACTCAAGGCTTAATGGAGTGCATTTCTAATGTGTCATGGCATTAGTAAACCCCCAAATTGCATACTAAATCATATGATACCTTAGACACACATTCTCAAACATTCCTACCCTTTTCTATCCTTTTTTAAAACAGTTTCCATTGTTAAACTTCCACACTGAACACTGAAATCCTGCCTTTTCTGCCCACTGTGTGTATGGTTGAAGGCTTTTGTGGATTATCTTTCTGCTGTAATGAGACAAGTGCGGCTGATGGTTGCAGGCCTAATTTCCTTTTAATTTGATTTAGATCTCTCCAGGTTTCAGCAAAAGAAGTTGGCTTATTATTTGATTTGATGAGTTTCATTTCAAGATATCTTTGCTCATCTTTCTCCTTTTCAACTATGATCAGTTCATTTTTCACTCTACAATTTGTATATTGTTGCCTTAGGAATAAACAAGATTCTGCTCACTGTTTTTTTTTTGTTTTTTAATAATATCCAGCAAGCCATATGTGAAGGGAACTAAAGATGTAAGAGCAGCCTAAATCCAAAGCACAGTTTGGAAATAAAAGGGGAATATTTTCGCCAATTGTTCTTGAAGTCATTATTTTTTGCAGATGGTTTATTATTTGTTGCATTGGATTGAGAAACACGCCTATTTTGTTTAATCACAGCACAAGCTTTTTGGTTTTATGAAACTGAAAGTTTCCTGCCAGGTTTCATTTTTTTTCTTGTATTCTGAAATAGTTTCATTCTCTTTTGATCCATTTCAGTTTTGAAGGTCTTAATTATTTTCGACGCTTCTGCAGCACAGCAATTACTGTACTTTTACATGATTTCATTGTTGTAATAACCAATTAAAACAAAGCAAATAAACTTTAAATCTTGATTTTTAAACCGTGTGCTTCTCCTTTTTTCCTTTTCTCATTTTTCTTCTTCTTTGTTTTCTTGGGATGGACGCGCTAATCGTCCTGACTTTTTCACGGCTGCTATTGCGCACGTTACTTATTTAGAAAACCATAAGAAAAACTCCACAACGCAGACAGGCCACGACAGCTTTGAACGCGTAAAGTGAAGTGGAAAAAGTCAAGTGAAGTCACATCCGTTGTATCTACAACTTTCCAAACATGAAATCAATACTAACCACCAAACATGCCTCTGCTACCAAACAGTCGACCACGTGTTTTGTCAGTTTTCTAAACTGTCAAAAATATATATTTTACTATAGCTGTGCTGCTTTGTTTCTGTAGTGAAACGGGTCATAACTTTAATTGTGCATATTTAAAAAAAAAAATCCTTAAAGGTAATGGTATTGGAGACAGAGCGTTAAACTGAGCGATACGTGTGTCAGAGGGAAAACAAACTATAAACTGTAATGCCTTTTTTTTTTTTTTTTTTTTTTTTTTTTTTTGGTCGTTAATTTAGGCAAACTGAGCCCCCTCTAACTCAGCGAGGTTTTACGGCATCATTTGTTTTCACACGGTGAAACCGATCAGGTCATTAAACGCCCCCTCAATAAATCTTTAGAAATCTTTTCCATTAACCCCCGAAACAACAAGTGGAACCAGGCGAGTCCCCC